TACTATGTATCATAAAGCAGGTACTAGATATTTTACATTCATAGAGGTATGATACAGTACTGTCCTACATCAATAATACTAGATTCAGTTTTGGTTTGAAATTTACTTTGTCTGCAAATAAGATTGCTACCCCTGTTTTTTTCTGGGCTCCTGTCACATGGAGAATTGTTTTCTATCGTTTCACTTTCAGTCTATGGACTTCTTTTTGCACTAGGTGTGTTTCTTGTATACAACCTATTGTTGGATTTTGCTTCTTATTCCATTTTGCCAGTCTATTTCTCTTGATTGGTGAGTTGAGGCCATTGACATTGCTGGTTATAACTGATATGTACTGACTTATTATTGACATGTTATTGGCCTTTTGTTGACTGTTTTTACTTTTTCACCTCCTTTTAATTTCTTGCCTTGCCTATTTGATTTGCTCTGTTGGGCCTCATGGCGTTGTTGCCTTCATTGTCTTTTTCTAGGATCTTGTTTAGAATTGCTTGTCGTGCTGGTTTGGTATTCTCTTTATCCATTTCTCTGTTGATGGACATCCAAGCAGGTTTTATGTCCTGGCTATTGTGAATTGTTCTGCAGTAAAAATAGCCTACCTTGGGTCAAGGATTTAGCTCAGGTGTTCCTTCTGCTGCCTGCCTCTCAAGCACAAGGTCCTGAGTCCCTGGTACCAAAAAAAAAAAAAAAAAAAGCCTACCCTGTTTTTTAGTACAGAGAGTATATTTTAAAAACCTGATGTTCTGTACACATATTAAACAATACAATTTTCTTTCTCCCCCATCTCCTGAGAATCTGCCATTTTAAGATAATATGGTATTTGTATTAGTAGCATATAGTATTTATCTTTCTGTGACTGGTTTATTTGATTCAGTGTAGCATCTCATGGGTCCTTCCAAGTTAGCCTATTGCAGAATTTCTTTCCTTTTCATGGCTGTAATATCCCATTGTATGGGTACTACATTTTGCTTATCCATTCATCTAATAAATGGACGGTTTGCTTCCATATTTTATAAATGATGCTGCTATAAATATGAGTTTAAAGTGCCTCTTTAGCACCCTGTCTTTAATTTCTTTGAATATGTACCCAGAAATAATATTGTTGGGTTTCATAATAATGTAATATAATAATATAATAACATAATATAATATAATAGGGTAATGTTGCCTTAATGTTTCTCACAGGGCAGTGTCATAGCTTAAGTTTTTGCAGTTAATTATCTAAGTCTCATTTTTCTGTGTTAATTTTCAGCCTTTCAAACATTAATAAATATTAAAGTCTTAAGTGTTGGAATTTTTTTCCTTTTTAGAAGCAAGAGAAAAAGAGGAAGAAATGAACAGAGAGAAACAGTTAAGACAGAATGAAGATATTGAACCAACACCATCAGGCTCAAATATGGTCAGAGATTGCTCAAAATCATCATCCAGGTACCTGATTTATTTATTTATTTATTTTTTTGGTACCTGGGATTGAACTCTAGACCTTGTGATTGTGAGGCAGGCAGAAGTACCACTGAGCTAAATCCCCAGTGTCCCTGATTTTCTTAAAAGACTTCTATTAAAGTAACATTTTCTAGGTTTTCATAACACAATGCAGGCAAAGTTCCTGATATTAAAAGATTGGATACTTTCTCATTTTATTTATTTTTATTTTTAATTTAATTTAATTTAATTTTTTTGGTTTTTTGAGACAGGGTCTCACTATGTAGTTGAGACTGACCTGGAACTCACTATGTAGCCCAGGCTGGTCTTGAACTCAGTGATCCTCCTGCCTCAGCCTCCCAAGTGCTGGGATTGCAGGCATTCGCCACCATGCCTGGCCAACTTTTTCATTTTAGTTAATTGTATATTCTTAGGTCATAAAAAAGTCCTGTGTCTAACAGCCTCCCATGCTGGGATTGCAGGCATTCGCCACCATGCCTGGCCAACTTTTTCATTTTAGTTAATTGTATATTCTTAGGTCATAAAAAAGTCCTGTGTCTAATTTGAAATCAGTGAAGTTTTAAAAAAGTATTCCAGGTATAATATTAAAATCTATAGGGGCCCAGGATTTAGTTCATTGACGCAGGGCCTCCCTTGCAAGTACAAAGTCCTGAGTTCATTCTCTGGTACTACCGAAAAAAAATCTGAGCTTGTTTTGCTGCAAAACATAATCACATAAAGGTGGAGAAATGTTGAGAGGCTTGCTGTTTTTTATCATGTTGGCTTTATATCTTCATACGTGGTAACTTTTTTGGTAAGATCCTTTACAGGCATGGATATTGAGAAATAATATAAATAGAGATACATTATAAAGTTCCTGAATTATAGGAGAAAGAAGCCATTAAAATTACTTCAGGGGGCCGGATTTAGCTCAGTGGTTCTGGCACCTGCCTCAAAGCACAAGGACCTGAGTTTGATTCCCCCGTACCAAAAAAAAAAAAAAAAAAAAAAAAAA